GGCTTAATTAGCGTAAGTACAACAGAGAGGAGAATATACATGCATCAATTTTATTATCAATTATTAAAACATTTCTAACATTCCTTTTTTATTTTACAGAAATTCTATGCTTACAATAACATCAAATAATATAGAGATGTGTAAAGAAAAAGTTAATAGTTTCTTCCTTTTACAATAACATTTCTCAAAAATTCATTGAATGCCTATTAACAGGCCAAGCATTTTCTAGACTGGTGGATACAAAAATGAACAAAACAAAATCCCTGTCTTCGTGGACTAACAGTCTAATGCAAGAAATAAACAAATAACAAATTATGCCAGGTAGCACTAAGAGTTATGAAGAAAATTCAACATAGGTGATCCACGAAAGCTTCTCCTAAAACGTGATATTTGAGGAAAGAACTAAATAAACTGAAGGTGTGCAGCAAGCGAATATCTAAGCTGAAGGAACAAAAAGTGCCACTTTCTGAGGTGATGTGCAGTTGGCTTGTTTGAGAAACAGCAAGGAGGCCAGTGTGTAGGAAGCAGAGCAAATAAGGAATGTCCTTTTATACCTTCAATAAAACTCTGTTTTTCCAGTTTAGTTACACTACCAACTACATATAGTTAAATTAATTTGCTCCATTATTGTTATTTTATATGGATTTAAAAAGTATTACTTTTGTAAATAAATTGTTTGCATGTTTCCAAATTCAAATCTACAAAGTATATTCAAAGAAGTCTAGCTTCTCTTTTTGTTTCCTCTGACCTATTCTTCCCCTCATAGACAGATAGCTACTTATAAACCTCCTTTTTTTAAAGTATAGAAAATAGTTTTGAAATTTTCTCTACTTCTTAGATACAATATATCTCTTCTTCTACTTCTGAGATAAATGGTAGCATAGTATACAAATATGAATATTTTTTCTTTTGTACTGGGGATTGAACCCAGGGGCTCTCCACCAATGAGCCACATCCCCAGCGATATGTGTATGTGTGTGTGTGTGTGTGTGTGTGTGTGTGTGTATACATACATATATGTGTGTGTATACATATATATATATATACACATACAAACACACACACACACACACACATATATATATATATATATATTTACACACACACACACATATATATTTTAGAGACAGGGTCTTGCTAAATTGCTCATGCCTCAGACTCCCAAGCCACTGGGAATACAGGGTGTGTGCCACCACACGCAGGCAAACAAGGAATATTTGATGAATCTGTGACATCCTTGCACAGGGACTATGCTAGTCTTCTCTATAACACCACAATTTTGTTATATGTATTGGTGACACAAGCACTAAGGCTAAAATTTTACATTAAAATTTTATATTATCCAGGCAAGGTGGCACATGCCTGTAATCCCAGCTTTTCAGGAGGCTGAGGCAGAAGAAGCCCAAGTTCAATGCCAGTCTCAGCACTTAGGGAAATCCTACTTCAAGAAAATAAATTTTGGGGCTGGAGATGTGGCTCAAGCGGTAGCGCGCTTGACTGGCATGCGTGCGGCCCAGGTTCGATCCTCAACACCACGTACAAAGATGTTGTGTCCACCGAAAACTAAAAAAAATAAATAAATATTTTTAAGAAATTTTTTAAAAAAAGAAAGAAAATAAAATTTAAAAAGGACTGGGCATGTAGCTCAGTGGTAAAGTATCCCTGCATTCAATTCTGAGTACCTAAATAAATAAATAAATAAACAAACAAAAATAAAATTTTACATAGGTAAAAATTCAGAAGCTGGACATGGCCTTTAATAGGTGCTACCATGGAGAGTCTTACATAGTAAAGAGACAACATGAAGATCCCAAGTACCTTTAGAGAGAGTAAGTTACCTGGAGTGGATCAAAGACATTGTTGAAAAACATGAAAGGAAATTGTAGCCAAACACGCAGGTCTAGGGCCTAGATTTGGTTCAACTTATGTTTCATTCCTGCCAATATTCTACTGTATCATGGAATTATCCACAAAAGACTTTAATATTGTTTTTAATAAATTCTTCAGGCACATGAGAGTATAAACACAGAATCCTTCATAGACACAAGAAAAGTTCAAGCAGGCTGGTAAAGCACATGCTTAGCCTGTACAAGACCTTAAGTTGGATCTCCAGCATCACACATGATTTTTTTTTTTATTTTTAATGTTCAGGGGTTTTGTATAAACTCATACCACAAAATTTTAAGTATTTATTGGGTTCTCTATGTTTAAATTTTGAAATACCCATTTAAAAAAAAAGAAAATTCTAGAAGTAATCCTAATTTGCACCAAGAGACTGAATCTTAGTTCAAAGAGAACAAAATTATTGCAAATAACTTTGAACATATTATTATTGAACAAATATTTGAGTGAATACTATGTTTAACACTTTTTATTATGTGCCATGGAAGACACAAATATGAATCAGACATAATCCCTGCCTTTGAGAATTTTATCATTAACTTAGGTTACAAATCTACTCTTTTTGCCCTGCTTTGTTATTCTGGAGATGGATCCTGGAGGCATTTTCTGCATTTTGAGAACTGGCAAAATGTTATTTTTTTTTAAATTAAATACTGGAGACCAGAGCAGAAGGAAAGAGCTCTCCTTCCTTCTGGTATTCTGTTTGGTGTGCGCAGCTAGTGCATCAGTTTGTAAGGGATGCCTGGCGGTATTCACCTCAGCAGTCTTCATGAACCAGTCTGGTCCACACTTCCAGCAAGTTTCTTTATCACGGGTGGACCACACACATTCCTTTGGCAGCCAAGCCCTCTTCTCTAAATATGTTTCTTGCTTGCTGTTCACTCTCTGACAGACATAAGTAGCAGGTGTACCTATATTATTACCACTGTATCCCATAGAGCCACTCTATGCCTTTTAGTAATTAAACACCCCTCACTGGTTAGCAACTTTTACACTGAATTTTTCCTCTTCAAATTACAAGTATGGTTTCTGTCTTGATGGTTCCAGCAGATACATCATTGAATAAGAAAGAAATGACAGATGCAAATTAATGTGAATTATATGGGAAGAAGCCACTTAAGCTGTAATCACAGTACAAAGACCAATGAGCTTCAGAGATGTAAATTTATAGAATTATATATTGGTAGGGTTGTATTCAGGTATATATAACAAAAACCGACCTCAGTGGCTTAACTGAATAAAGATTTATTTTTTCATGTAATGTAAATTCATAAATACTTAGTTAAGAGCTGTTGTAGCTATTTAAAAAAAAATTAAAAACTGAGGTTCCTTTAGTTCTGAGGTTCCCCATCTTTAATGTATGACTTTTGTTGTCATTGTTGCAAGATTGCTGCTTCACTTCCCAGCATTGCATCCATATTCCAAGCAGGAAAAAGAAAAGGTAATGAAACAAAGAAATGATCAATTTGAATCTATGTCTTAGGGGTGCTGTCAAAAAACCTCAGTTCTCCTATCACACCCTCCCTCAGCATTCCTAACTGTAAGGGAATCAGAGAAGTTTGTTATTTTTTAACCAGGAACAGAGATCTATCTGTCATGTATCTATTATTTTGTAACAAACTACCCTAAAATTTAATAACTTCAAACAATGACCCTTTTATTGCTCTTGACTCTGTGTCAGGAATTTGGGTAAAGTTCATTTGGGATGGCTCAGTTCTGTTACTGGGAAGGCTTGACTAGAGCTATGGAATCATAAAACTATGTGAGCTGAGCTTCAGAACTTAAGTCTCTCCCTGCCATAGGTATCTAGTCCATAGGTAATTTGTAATCAGCCCTGTAAGGGATCCAAGCTTCTCTCCTGCTCCTCTTCAAAAAAATTCCTGCTATTATTTTTGTGCTAAAGAGGCAGGAATGGTACTTAATCCAACTTAGTACACAAATATATCTAGAATAATTTATCCTATAGAGGATCTATTGTTGACGTATAGGGCCTTGCTGCTTTTTCTACTGTAGATAACATAGAGACGACACAATACTTCAGGTTAGAATTATGTGAGAAACTATACTAATAATCACTTGTTGAACTGCACATGTGAATTATCTCTATTTTATGGGCAAAGACTGAGAATAAATATTAGCATTCATGTTATTTTCAACAATTTGCGTCTGATGTTGGATCAGTAAAGACTTACTTATTTTTCATGTTTCAATTCTAAGGGTTTCTCCCCAGTATTGCTGGTAGATGATATTGCATCTTTGTGCTAACTATATTGCTATAGGTTGATTTTCTTGATTCATGTTTTTTTCATGCTAGGGCTCTAGGCAAAGTTCAGTGTACTTTAGTTTAGCTGTACATCCTGAGGGTTTTTTTTTTTTTGTTTTTCTTGTTGTTTTCTTTTGCAGTGCTGGGGGTAAAACTCAGGCCCTCGTGGTAGGAAAGTATTTTACCATTGAACTACATTCTCAGCGCCTGAATGTGTAAACTTTCTTGTGGACTTGTATCACTTCCAGGTATCATTTATTAAAATTATGAAATTAAGTTTACATAATTCAAGGATCTAATAACAACACGAGAAATTCAGTAAAAGTCGTTTTTCTGAGATATCTGCTTCCATCTGAAGAAAATTATTTGTCCAAAGTTACCAAAAGTAGATGGTAAAATAAGTGGCTTTAGTCTAAACTCTACATGCAATAACAATATAATCCCTGAATTCGTCCCTCTTTCAGCTAGAAAATTAACCATACTTATGGAACCCTTTTCCAGGTTCCTTGAAAGAAATAGCTTCACTAATTTTTTGTCAAGTAGTAAATGAACACCCCCCGCCCACCCCCATTCCCCTTCCCCTTTTCACAGAGAAGAATGATCGGGAAGGAGACCTTTCTACTAAAGAGAAGTAGCAACTGGTAAAAGACCAAATCTCACAAAGTGTGAATGTGAAAAAAAAAAAAAAGCCCCACTATCATCCCGCCAGATCAAAAGTGAAACACCTGTTGGGTCCGCAATTTCAGCGCTAGTCTTGAATATCGTTATCTCCCCAGCCCTTCACCGGAAGGCTAGGGTTGTCCTTCCCAGCTGGCTACGAATAAAGTTGTTACAAAGTGACCTTGAGCGTCTTCCCCTGTGCACCCGACACTCCGCCTTCTCCATCCGGGTGCTGTGGCGAGGATAAGAGCCGTCCCGCGCCTGCGCGCCCAGCCCCATTCCTTCGACCTCTGCCGCCGCTGCCGCCGCCACCTCCTGGGAAGGTAAGTGGAGGGCGCGGAAGCCGGGCCTGGCCAGGGTGGAGCAGCGCCCAGAAGGGACCCATTCATTCTGCTGTTGCTTAGCTGGGCACGAGGCCCAAGCTGACGGCGTGCATGGGGGCCCTTGGGGCCTGGGTGGGAAGGACAGGCCCCTGGAGAGCACATGACCTTAAGCCTGTTTGCCTCCGCAGAGAGGAAGCGGGAGAGGAGCCCACGTCGCCTGTCACCTAGATCCTCCAACCCCGCCGCCCCAAGGAGTCTAAGATGTTCGCCTGCGCCAAGCTCGCCTGCACCCCCGCTCTGGTGTGTAGCCCTGGCTGGGCCGGGGGACCGAGGGCCAGGACTGCGGGCCTGGAGAGTCCGCGGTTATTGAATGGGGCAACCTGCGGGCGGGGCACACCGCCCTCCCAAGAACAGCAGTCCCCGCACCCCTTAACTTGATGCCCTTTTCTTGCCTTCCTCCTAAATCCTGGGACATTTCAGACCTCAGACCTCCTCCATTAGGGCGGGGAAGAGCAGCCCAGGCCTATCGGTCAGGCCTCACTTTGTGTAGGTCAAATCCTCCTTGCTCTTCCACCTGGAATGCCCCTCCCCCACCACTTCAGTCGGGCTGTGGTGGACTCTATGGTTGGAAAACTGGGGGCAAAGGAGGGGGACGCTGAGGCCTAGTTCCCCGCAGCAGCGCTCTCCAGTGCTTGTCTGTAGGTCATACTTGCTGCTGCAGAGGGAGGGACTTTGCCTTACTGTGCGTGGGTGGAGAAAGGCGGTGGGGGAAACCAAAGTCTTTCTGTTGCTGGGATATTATTTCTATAACCATTTCGGAGGCCTTAGGTGAAGTCTAAATCTGGAGGATTTGTCTTAGAGAATCAAGTCTTGGTTTTGAAAGGGTTTTCTGTGACCTTAGTGTAATGGACACTCAAGGGCAGAGAAGCCGGACTAGAGTATGCCCTTATGATGAGAGATTCACTGATTATTAAACTGATGTAAAATTGCTTTAATTCTTGTGTAATTTTATAATTAGTTGGCATCCTGGAAATAGTGGGAGTTCATAGTAACTGTTGTGCTATTTTAAATGATAACTTTATATTAGTGACTCTTCTAATATACCTGTTAATCCATGTAAACTTCACAAAGAGTGTGGGGTGTTCCTTGAATTGAGGCACTACAATAATTGAAATATTTGGCCCAGTACTCATTCTTTTAAACTAATTGTTCTTAGAATTTTTTTTTTCAGAGAATTATAAACTATGGAGCAAGTCTGCAATTTTATTAGCATGAAACTTTATTAAAATTGCTTCATGTATTGAAAATGATCAAGCAGTCAAGATAAGAGTTAATACAGATAGATATGTATCTAATCCATTTTTAATACATGCTTTCTTAGAACTCATGGTACAAGAAAGGTCATTGAAGTATTGTCTGCATTTCTAATACTTGGAATCTTTTCATTAATAGATCCGAGCTGGATCCAGAGTTGCTTACAGACCAATTTCTGTATCAGTGTTATCTCGACCAGAGACTAGACCTGGAAAGGTAAGAGTAGTAGTAATAGAAATTAGATAACACTACCAAATAAATCTTAACAGTTTTGCTGGGGGTCTCATTACTATTGGTTTGAGGGCAGTCTTTTTCTACTCTTTTATCCAAAAATATATGTAAACCTCTAGTTTTGAGTTACCAATATATAAGATTATAATAGTCACAGTTACTGAGAAACCTGTTGTATTAAAAAGCATATTTAGCCCGGCTTGGTGGCACACACCTGAAATTCCAGTGACTTGGAAGGCTGAGGCAGGAGGATCACAAGTTTGAGGCCAACTTCAGCAATTTAGGAAGACCCTGTCTCAAAAATAAAATATAAAAAGGATTAGGAATTTAACTCAGTGGTAGGGTTCACCTGAGTACACCCCTTTACCTCCTACACAAAGCATATTTATATCTGTTTCTTAATTTTTAACAACTTTATAATGTATAGATGTTATTTTCAGTATTCTACAAGTTTAGAATTATTCTAAGCTCTTATATTTCTGTTGTGCAATACCACTGTTCATACTCAGCTGCAATACAGTGAAATAGTTATCATTTTGACAGTACAATAATTAAAATAATTGTGACTACTGATTTGACCTTTGCTTTTACTTCCTGTTCTCTAGGGCTCTACAGTTTTTAATGAGGCCCAGAATGGTGAACGTCAGCTAATCCGAAGGGAGTTTCAGACCAGTGTAATCAGCAGAGACATTGATACTGCTGCCAAATTTATTGGTGCAGGTGCTGCAACAGTAGGAGTGGCTGGTTCTGGTGCTGGTATTGGAACAGTCTTTGGCAGCCTTATCATTGGTTATGCCAGGTATCATTTCTATACTTTAATAAGTTAAAAGAAATAGTTGGAAACTTAGAAAGCTAGGAGGATAATAGTAACTCTTTATATTAAGTGCCCACTGTGTATCTAATGTTTTATTTTGTAGCTTTATATCCATTATCTCACTTAACCAGAAGGATAAGAAAAATGTCAGGACTCAAATTAATGTAAACTGACCTACAGAAGGACTAGGGATGTGGTTCAGTGGTAGAGCACTTGCCTTGCTTGCAAATGCCATGGGTTTAATCCTTAGCATTGACAAAACAAATAATTTGATATACAGATAGTTACCTACCTTTATGCCTTATGATTAAGGTTGGGGCAAAGAGTAGAAAGAAGCAAAAGAGACCTAGGCAAATACCCTTTAGGTGGACTTTCCAGTTTATAAGATCACCACACTAGTAATTTGATTCTTTAACATTTACCAAGTATGTTAAAGTTAATATATCAAAGTAACAGTCATATGTGTTGTATCTCTTTTAGAAATCCTTCGCTGAAGCAGCAGCTGTTCTCCTATGCTATCCTGGGATTTGCCTTGTCTGAAGCTATGGGTCTCTTTTGTTTGATGGTCGCTTTCTTGATCTTGTTTGCCATGTAACAGAAATTACTGCTTGAAATGTTGGCATTCATAGTAATTATGGATGTAATTCTGTGTATCTTACTGTGACTCCGAAAAACTGTAGTGTTGGTGTCATGGAAGTGTACGTTATTTCCAAAGTCATTTCATTAAAGATGAAAACTTTAATTTTTGCTGTGATTTGTACTTACCTAAATTTAGATCATCACAAAGAAGATGCATTCAGGCAGATGCCATCCAATTTGGAGGAAGCTATAGTAGTAGTCTCAGTGGTTTAAAAAAAGAGCCTAATGTAATTTTTATGGAAATTCTTTTATATAGTGTTCTGCACATTGTAATTCATGGGCCTTTTGTTTATTCATATAAGGAGAAGTATTTTAGTCCTTTGAGTTTCTATGAAATGTACTAATGAAAACAGGATAGGACTTGAAAACAAACTGGAAAGGAATGAGATTTTTATTTTTTAGTAAATCTCACATTAAGTAATTGTAATGAACCACCATCTGTTATCTAAGAAAGGGAGTCAATCATCTGGCAGCTAGTTTCTTATTAAAAATAAATTATCAAGAAGTGAACTGAATTGGTTATATCTTTAAAAGCCAAAAGCTGCTAAAGCAATGTTTATCGCTACTGTTAGCATGTTAGTAGTGGGAGTCCTGGAAGTGACACTTGGTTCACCATTACCTTGCTTCTAACATTGCATGTCACTCCTTGGTCAGACTTTTAAGGAAGAAAGTGGTGCTATTATAAGAGTCTTTCCCCTAGCAAATAAAGTGTACCATCATATTATTTATGATTGTCAGGGTGTGTTTGAAGGAAAGCTGCATTATACCCATTTACTTCTCTTTTCCTAATTTGATATCAACTGAGAAAAAAATAGTCAGATACAAGAATTTCTGAAGCATGGTGGAAAGACTACCTAAGAAATCACCTAGGGTTCTTGTTTTTTATTATTATTATTATTTTAAATATATTTTTTTTAGTTGTAGATGGACACAATATCTTTATTTATTTTTATGTGGTGCTGAGGATCGAACTCCAGGGCCTCACGCTTAAAAGGCAAGCACTCTCTACCACTGAGCTACAACCCCAGCCCCTAGGGTTCTTGTTTTAAAAGACATCCTAGGTAATTTTTGTGCATACTTTTTGAGAATCACTACCTTTCCATATATTGCTACTTTACATAAAGTGAAGTGAGGGCTAGACATGAATGACATGCACCTCTAATCCCAGTGATTTAGAAGGGATCTCAAGTTCGACATCAGCCACTGCAATTTTGTGAAACCCTATCAAAATTTTAAAAAATGGAGAGGGGAGGTTGGTGGGGACATGTCAGTGCTAGAGCAACTCCTGGGTTGAATCCCCAAAACTGCCAAATAAAAAAGGTGAAGACTGCTAGAGCTACCACAACTACACATTTAGTTGAGTAATCATGTAGTCTATATCAAATGCAAGATTCTTGAAGCCTAGACTATTTTCTTGAACAGCATTATCCAGTATTTGAACTCAACAATGTAAGTAGAATTTTTAATAATTCCATGCCTGGGTGTGTAACCAAAAGAATTGAATATAGGTATTCAAACAAAAATTTCTCCACATTGGGCATGGTGGCACGTGACTATAATCCCAGCAGTTTGGGAGGCTGTGGCCAGAGGATCAGGAATTTTAAGCCAGCCTCAGCAATTTAGCAAGGCCCTAAGCAGCTAGACCCTGTATCTAAAAAAATATTTTTAAAAGGGCTGGGGATGTGGCTCAGTGGTTGAGTGTCCCTGGGTTCAATTGATGATACCAATAAAAAAAAATTCTACACAATGTTCATAGTACTATTCATAATAGCCCAAAAGTGGAAACAACCAAATGTCTATCACCTGATGAATAGTCATGCAGAATGTGGTATTTCCATATAGTAAGAGTATTATACAACCATAAAAAATAAAGTACTAATAGAGGCTAAACCTAAATGCAAGAAGCCAGAAACAAAAAAGCCATGGATGTATGACTTCATTTTTTTTTTTTTTTGAGTGAGAGAGGGGGGAGAGAGAGAGAATTTTTAATATTTATTTTTTAGTTTTCGGCGGACACAACATCTTTGTGTGGTGCTGAGGATCGAACCCGGGCCACACGCGTGCCAGGCGAGCGCGCTACCACTTGAGCCACATCCCCAGCCCATGACTTCATTTTTATAAAAATACCCAGAAGAGACAAATCCATAGAGACAAAGCCTGTTAGTTGTTACTAGGGGGAAGGGAAAATGGGCATAACCACTCAAAGGACATGGGATTTCATTTTGGAGTGTGACAAAAATGTTAAACTGATGATTGCACAACAGTCATTTAGAAGGTTGCTGAAATGTACAATTAAATAAAAGCTAATATGACAAATTTTACGTGTATTTTACTACAATTAAAAACCTATGTAACAAAATACATAGTAAAATCCACACGTTAAAAAAAATAGGGAAATACTTCAATTATCTCATCCTTTGTTCCATGTTCATTTTAAATTAATCAATCAGTCTTGGTTAATGACCTACTCTTGGTATTGGCTTGGTTATTCAGAAACCTTGAAACTGATTCTAGAACAGGTTTCTTGGAAGAGATCCCACAGCTGAGGGAATCCCCAGTATATAAGTAAATAAATACCGAAGCTGTGGCTAAGTGGTCCCCAGGTTACTGGGCGGGGACTGGGGATGAGTAGAAAATAGTGTAACTTAGAAATATAACTATAGGCTATTTATTTTACCTAGATGGAGAAACCAAATACTGCATTGAAGTTCCAATTATCCTGGCATATATCCTTTAATTTACATTTTATTTTTTCTTGTAACAGATTTCTGACATTGGAAGTATGTAACTAGAATATATCAACTGTGTCAGCAGAAACATTTATTCACTATTTTTATAGCAAATACTACCTTCCTTAGTTTTTTGAGCTTTGCTAATAAATACTAATGGTAAATGGTAAATGAAATGTTACTAACTTACTTGTTTCTGAACAGAGGCTGACAGAGATGTTAATTTCAACACCAAACAAACATGAAATAATTTTCCTTTGTAGTTGGCTTATTTAAAAACTCCAATGGGCAAGAGTACTCTAGGGTGATAGGCTACCAATTCAACCATATTTACCCAGATTGTTGTTCCTTGAGGCATTTTATGTCTTTGGGATTCATTCAAAATATAGATTTCAGCATGAAATCTTGTCTTTGAACTAAAGAGATAATCTTATTTAGCTAGGAACACTATACATGCATGCAAATTCAATAATATTTCAATAAAATGATCATATGAAAAAGTGCTATTTGTCTATAATTTAAGATTAACTTTGAGGAACTATATAATGAGGATAAGCCAGGAGAAGAGAGTATCTTGGCTAATGAATAGCATAAATAAAGGTAGGTCATCAAGACTAAATGACAGTATACAGAAAGCTTCTAGTACAGGGAATAGCACTCATCTACTATAGGGAATGCATAAGTTCTCATTTCCTGACTCTTCCTGGAGATCTAAGCATTGAATTCTATTGACACTACTTTTGCAGTCCTCTTTATAATACTCAATGCCAAATCCTAGATAGGCCCTCTTTATCTTTCACATTGGTATGGGAGGGGGGGCAAAAAACAGCATTGCTTGGCATAGGATGGAAGTAATGTGAGATTAAAAGGTAGATTGGGGTCAAATTTTGTATAGATTGTATTCATGTGACCACAGGCAGCCATTGAAAGTTTAGAGCTGTGTTTCAGAAAGGTTAATTAGACCAATCTGGGAGTCAGCAATGACCAATGATTACTATAGTAGCTTTGCTGAGAGGTAAAGCGGGCCTAGGCCAATGCTTTGATTTGTAGTGTAAGTTAAAGGTAACAAGGACAAAACTGATTTGGGGAAATGATGAATTTTGTATTTTTATATAATTTTAAACAAGAGTTTTATCTTGTTTATTATACAAGTGGAATCTGCATTTTAATAAGGATCTCAGGAGATTTGTGTACATACTAAACTTTGAGAAGCACTGTACTGGAATACTGCAATTCCCAGCATGTCATGACTCAGACTCCTTAACTTTTAAAACTGTTAACTCATTCATTTGGGAGCTTTTTTCTTCCTGCATTGGAATATTTGGCTAACTTGATGATTCTCAAAGTGTGGTCTAATGACTTCTGAGGGGTCTCAAGACTCTTTCCTACCTACATAGCTGTGAGTCTAGATTTTTGTTATGTACTTCAAAACATCATACCACAACAGACAGATCAAATGCAGAAACAAATACAAGAATGCAGCAGTTTCTATTAAGCATGACATAGCAACTTACAAAAATGAAAAAAGATGCCATTCTATTTTTGTTCTGCAACGTGTAGTTTTTTTAAAAATACTATTTATATGTTATTTTAGGGCCCAGCATCCCCAAACCAAAATTTTGAGAACAACTGGTCTAATCTTTCAGTGAGAAAGACAGGTTCTAATACATGTCATTGCACTTAAAACTCTGTAGAGGTCAATTTTATAAACTGAGGGTAAACCTATCTCTCAGTAGCTCACATTCTTTCAACCATAAACAATTGACCTAATTTCCTGGCAATAATTTGTTTTTATCCTGATTTGACATAAATAATGTATCTATTCTGAGATGTTTAGTAACTTAAGATACTTTTTTCTCAAAGGAGCTTAAATAGTGAAGAGGAATTGATAGACCCAAAATCAAGAGTGACTCATAAACCCAAGGGCGTTGAGTTGTTCCTCTTATTAGTATGAGCTAGCATCCTACAACTGATCTTGACAGAGACTCCTGGGAGGACCCATAGTTATTGGCAGTGGCTACTTTTCAACAACAGTTAGCACTTCCCAGCTATGAAGATTCTAGGATCTCTTCGAGTTGAGCCCCAAGGTTTGCTTCCTCAAACATCTACATAGGTTGGCTGGTGTATCTCAACTGTTGGACACTATCTAAAGAAGAGCTCACAGAATTTTTCCACCTCTCTAGAGTTTCCTAAAATGTCTGCTACTCTGAAGCTGTATAAAAAGAGCAAATTTACATTGCACATTATCACACCCTGCTCTATTTCCACCATAGTACTTCACATTATTTAAATTCTTATTGTTAATGTACTCCCCAACAGTCTATTTAAGGAACTTTTGTCTTATTTAGTTGTAGCCTCAGAGCCAGGAGCAGTGCCTGGAATGATCATGCTCAATAAACAATGATGCTTTATGAGTAAAGAGACATTCAGTTGACAGTTCATCTCAGAGGTTGTGTCCAACACAGGATAACTGAAAAGAGTAGTGTGTTAGTCCAAGGAGGGTCTGATCCATATAACCAGAGAGACTCCTTGGTTTCTACAATAATAATTCATGATTTTGTTATAATGGGCCTTACGGTGATAGACTTTTTATGGAGAGCCATGAAGGTAGACAGTGGAATGCCAGAACACACTATACTAGGAATGGTTCCATCTGCTTTTATTTTTTTAATTTTTTTTTTTGTGGACACAATACCTTTATTTATTTATTTTTATGTGGTGCTGAGGATTGAACCCAGTGCCTCACACATGTGAGGCAAGCGCTCTAACACTGACCTACAGCCCCTCCATCTGCTTTTATTGACAACTTCAGAATGTGTGGGGAGCAGAATATAATGACAACCTCTCTTTCTGGTGAGTTATATAAGAGGTGAAAGGGGACACTGTTATCAAGGATGAAAACAAGACCTTTAAATTCCATTCTGGTCTTATAAGCTAACTGTTAAGATTTGAAGATAAACACAGTTCTTTTTTCTCCACAATGCCACACACCATTCATTATAAACTATTTTGAGAAACAATGATTTGGGTTGGAGAGTGGATATCCCTGTGCTTGAAATGTTCTGAAAAAAAAACCATACATAGTAAGGCCAGGTGCTGAGAATTAACTGAAACAGGCCACTTCAGCAATTTCAGCAATGGGCAAGAAAAGAAAATCTGTTATGATGTAGAAGCCACCAAAAAATCAACTGAAATGTTTTGGACCACATAGTTCATATCTCATCTCTCCATTATCAAGTGAGGAGTCATGCCTCACTTGCTCCAACTCTTCATATCACGTCACATACACTTGTCTTGATCCCACTGGTAAAATCCCAGCCAATCCACTGCATGGGATTACATCTTGAGGATACCATAAAAATGTGGAAATTCTTTCTCTGAACCTGAAACTAGTTGTATAAGGCAGACACAAGAGGCGCTGGAGTATTTTTGTTTTGTTTAGCTGCAGATAAACAGAGACTGTTTTATAAATTAATTATAGTAAAATTTAATGAGCAATAATAGATTAATGGATTGACAGCCCTGTCATACTTCCAATTAAGGTTGAAATACCACGTTCGTTCCATGGTATTTGGAAGGTTCTGAGAGCATTTAGAAGCAACCATGAGTTCTTATGGTATTTAGTAATGAACATTTTCATGACTGAAATGAGTTCTTCAAACAGCCTTTTTAGTATCTAAGGGATGCTAGTTTTATCCATAAATCATGAATTTTACTTTTGTTACAAAACTTTATTTTTGTTGTTTATATATACATTTTGCAATTATTAATAGATGTAAGCTCTGATATCTGGAACATCCATGAGAAAAACAATGTCCTGAGGCACTTACAAAAGAGGCTATCAATATACACTCACATAATCATATTTCAGACACATCAGTACATTTATATCAGGACACCAAATAAGAAAAATAGAAAGCATGAACATAGAGGACATGACAAAAAATGAAATACATATGTATACACTGAGCATCATTTCATGCTGGGTTCTTAAAGGAAATTCACTAATTCTCCTAAAAATAAACTGGGTGGATGCATTTATGGAACCATTAGACAAGCAAAGGAGCCCAGAAGTTTTCTGCATTTGTAAACAGAAGATTTCAGAGAACTTTAGGACTATTGGGGATATTGAAGATGAGGAACTAAAAAAGAAAAATGGAAAGGAAGAATTTTATGAGGATTTGGATTACTGAGCTGTACAGGTTAATGGGATCAGAACTGAGTACATTCATCTAGCTTTTCTCTTTGTAGAAAAACTATAGTAATTTAGCTAGAAGTATATAGCTAAAGTGAGTCACTTTGCTTACTGCCGGGTTGCTAATTCATACAAATAACATTCTTGCATGTTTCCATGTTTTTCCCTCAACACCTTTATTTCTTCTCACTTTAAGCATTATTTCTCTTAAAAAAATAGCTAAAACTGAATTTTCAAAATAGATCAGAGTACTATTCATGTTAATAAATAGTTCTTCTCCTATCTAATAAAAACTCCTAAAATAATTTTTGGGGGGGTGTACCAGATTGAACTCAGGAGCACAAAAAAACTGAACCACATTCCCAGCCCTATTGTGTATTTTATTTAGAGACAGGGTCTCACCTCAGTGATGTGAGTGGCTCACTTTTGCTGAGGCTGGCCTTAAATTTGTGATCCTCTTGCTTCAGCCTCCTGAGCTACTGGGATTACAGGCATGCTAGCACAAAAGAATTTTTAAAAACATTTCTTGAGGGCTTGGGATGTATCGTAGAAGCAGTGTGTTTGCCTTAGATGCATAGACCCTGGGTTCAATCCCCTGACTGCAAAAATAACAACTTTAAAAGTTATGTACACGGTAGTGCACACCTGTAATCTCAGCAACTTGGGAGACTGAGGCAGGAGGATCACAGGTTCAAGGACAGCCTCAGCAACTCAGTGAGAACCTGTCTCAAAATAAAAAATTAAAAAAAGGGCTGGAGATGTGGCTCAGTGATTGAGCACCTCTGGGTTCAATGCCCAGTACCCAAAACAAACACAATAACATCTAGTGCATTGTGTGGATAATTAACTATTTGACTGCAGATTGAAGGAGGAATAAGGAGAAAAAATTAAATATAAGAGGTATTGCCAACTGAAAATAAAAATAAATCAAACTGGAGAAATTAATTCAAAATTTTTAATATATACAAATGGAAAAACACTTTTATTTAAAAACTACTCTAATTGACTCAAAGTTTTTTTGAAATGCCTTAAGTTTATAGTTCTTTTTCCTCAGATATTTTGTCAGATGGAGAGAAGCACCATTTGAGTGAATGTTTTCTATACCTAACTATTTGTGATCTGTCAATCACATATTTTTGTTTATCATTTTCACCATAAGTAATCTGAGCAGACGATGTTTTGCTGATACAATTAGTGTTATACTACACTAACACTACTGCGATGTTACTGATATTATAAGATGGTGCTTTAATTTTAAGAACTAAACAGTGTTAATAATTTGGCTTCTGTCATATTTCTCGAGTAATTAAAATTGGTTTTAAAAGAAGATTGAATTGGCTCACATACATGTATACAAGCCAGAAACCTATTAAAAGGTCCAATGCCATTAGAGTTTCACTTTCATGCCAGATATCATTATTGAACTGCAGGTTCATTAACTCTTAAATACTCTTCCTCAAACTCTTCTAACAATTTGTTTCACTTTGATGTGGAAAGATTGAGAGTGCATTTTGTGACTAGATATAATAATTCTGTTATAAGCTAGAAATCAACCTTTAACAAATGGAAAAAACAAGGCATTGAAAAAAGCTTGTTTTTTTTTTTTGATAATTATTGCAAATTTTCAGTGTTCCCAATCACATTTGTCAACTTGTGCCTATTTGTTGAACAACCAATATCCCTACAATTAACTCTGAGATCTTTAATTTGTATAGAGAATCATAAAACAATATTAAAAAGAAATATTTTTCAACAGCATACTTTTTCTGTGCTTTAAGGAGCGTATCTGTGTCAAATCGAGTTGTAAAGATGCTGTCTTTTGTCCTATAACATTAATCAAATGATCTTTCTGGCCCATTTTTTAAAAAATTATTTTCAAACTTACCAGACATTTCTTAGGCATTGAACAACCTAGTACGCAGGAGAATAGTATGTTGGAAGAGTGCCATTTTTGTGCGATATTCTAATGTGGTGTTCTTTGGTCCTCTTTAAATCATCAATGAGATTACTTAAATTATAAAAGATTGACATGATCATTACTGAAATGGATATATTTTATCTATAACCAAGTAAAAGATGATTGACAAAATAGGACACACCATTATATAAAGTATTTTCTCAGAAATAGGTTGTTGCATTGTTTTAAATTATGGTACCAAGCCTAATCATATGCTAATATCATACACCGCACTTGGTGCTGGGAAAAACTCCTAAGAATCAGGTCCAGTTTTAGCTTAGTAAAATTTGAGCAAAACCAATTTAGAACAACAGTTTTTTTCTTTTCTACTTAGAACTGATCTTTTTTCTTTTTTTAGACGTGTCGGTTTCGGTTTTTCTTTTGTTGGGGTGTGAGGATTACTGGCAAAACTGGCCCTCCCAAACCAGTTTAACAGAAGCTTCCCATCTCAAGATTCCGGGGTGCCTGGGGTGGGTTTAGGGGCGCGCCTCCTTACATTTTACCCATATCCCTAGAAAAAAGGCTGGGAAGTGACAAGAAACGTTAATACCCAAGTCTCAGGGATGGGCTTGGAGGACACTTCGTGCCTTCACTGCAGTCACTTGCAGCCTTTCCAGAGTTCACCTTTCTTTCCCTCACCGCGAACTTCCTCCGGTGCCCTCCACAGCCACCTCCACCCGCGCAGCGGCACCTCGCAGCCTCTGGCTGGCTGCCAATCACACTGTTCCGCAGCCCCCTGGCTTCAGACTACGCTCTTTAGGCCCTCTGTTCCCTCCCCCTCCAGAGCAGCTTCCCGCCCTTCAGGCTGCTTGTCCATTCAGCAGCGTCCAAGTATTCTTTGGTTCCCGCCCTCTCCCTATCCGCCTTCCGGAGGACCCGCCCCCTTCCCTAAGCCTGACGGAATCACCTGACCCGGAGGCACTCCCTCTGAGGAAAGGCAAGAAGGGGCGTGTGCGTGGAGGGGAGGGGCGCGAGAAGAAAGGGGGGATGCCGGGAGTAGGGCGGGGAGACGGGTTGTCAGTCCGTTCTCGCGAGAGAGGACGGAAGCCTGTGGGAGCCCGTGGCCTTTAAAGTGTGGTTCAGCCCTTTCCTCCAGGGGTAGTTTGTAAACACGGCTGCGCTCCGGGCTCCCGGGTGACGGAAAGGATCATGAATAAGTGACCTGGAAAGGTGAGTAGTAATGGGGAGAGGGCCGCAGGACTGGAGACTATAGGGATACGGAGAAAGAAGGCGCTAACATGGCGACGTCGCTCACCGTAGTCCCCACCCCCCGCTTCTCATCCCCTCGGGCGCTGCTGCCGCGATCCCACCCCTTAGGGCAGTGGTGAAAGTGCCGCTACCTCAGCGGCGCACGTTGTCTGCTGTAGGAGCCTGAGCGGCGGGACCGGACCGCTAGGTAACTGGCTCTCGATGTTCCGGCCCCTCCCTCTCGCGCGCTTTCCTAAGGAAGAGGAAAAAGGAATAACGGCTCCTCTTAAAGACCCCTCCCTTCGATTTACCGTCTCCTCCTGTGGTCACTTTAGAGGTCCCTGGGTGCACAACGAATGCTTCCAGTACACAAGGAGATCTCCCTCCTCAATCCTTGGATTGGGCAGGCAAAGGGCCCACTGTGCTCTCCCCACCCAGGACTCAAGCGGTTGAAGGACCCTGTTGGTGATGGCTTGGGAAGATTGGGAGGCGCTGGTGGAAAAAGGTCTGGGTCCCAGATTTCGGGGGAAACTGGTGTAACGGATGGTATGGAGAACCTAGAAGCTGAAGCCCTCGGCCTTTTCTGTCCTTTCTGTTACCCTCACTCTCCCGCCATCCCCCACTTTTTCCAGGTGGGGCGGGGCAGAAGTGTGGGTGCAGATTGACTAGTATTTTCTCCTATTTTTTACCTGCAGGAGTGGAATGCAGAGCTTCTGTAGGGAAATTATCTGTGCTTTTTATCAATGCCTTAGGGACCAGGACCCAGGGATTGTGTGTACGTGTGTGTGTGTGTATGTGTATGTATGTTTTCCATGCTTGCTCGTTGAACCGAAGCTAGGAAGAGGAGGAGTAGCTGAGTATTATTTTTGTGCCTCTAGGTAGTATAAAATTGTCTTTCTTTACTGGCGAGTCTTGAAACTGATGAGGTCAATAGCAAAACTATCATGAATATATTGAAATAAAAGGAAACACTCCTGATGAACCTTAGGCCTTATTGACTAATCCCTAATTATAATGTGAAAGCTAATAATTTCTTAGGGATTATACATTATGGAGACAGTCATAATACATGCGTGTTATGTATATACTTGAAATCAGAACACACACTGACTTCTTCTGAGCACACTTTTTGTTGTATTTGAAGACTTTAACCACCAGCGTTGCCATTGCCAGTAATGATCATTTTTAAACAAGTATGTTTTTTTAAAAAATGGTCACCATTCACGTCAAGAATTAAGACAGTTCATGATCTTTAAGGCTATTGATAATAGTTTTTGTAAAATAACTCCTAAGACTCTTGCGGATTTACAAGTGATGTGTTATGCTGTCTTCCTAAGACATGTTTCTTCTTGCTTTGAGGATGTTACTGCTGTTGAGTTTTTAAAAATTATTTTTAATATAATATTGTGGTAGTTTAGAACTTAGGTGTTTTGTATTTTAATTATCAGTTAAGGATTTTCAGGAACTTTTGTGTGTGTTTAAGGTACATAATACCTTCTGTAGATCTGATTGCATTTCCTGTCATTCTTTTTTAAATACCTTATGAAAAAAGTTTATTTTGTATTAAGGGCATTATATTATTCTCTTATTAAATATGTAACCCAGAAATTCCTGTAACTTTTTTTGTTTGGAGTATTTTCTATTTTAGTATTTTTAAACTAAATTAATGGTAGAAAAGGTTATGTCACTCTTTAACAAATAATCAGAAGGGCGCTTTTATTAGTATTCAGAATTTGGAAACTATGTAAGTATTGTTTAAAAAATACATTCTATCCATCAAATATCTTCTACTTATAACTAGCATTTACTCTCAAGAAATCATCTACATTTTTTACCTGAATTTTTGTATTTTAAAAAACAATAGTTTCAATGATTTATGTTGTTTGCTACTAAATTGAATTGCTAGATCAGGTAAACAATTCCACCATATATGCTATTTCCACTCATTTTTTTCTTCAAGCTCTTCCTCCTATGAAATATGTCTATAAGCTGGTATTTCTTTCTCTTTGTTTTTCTTATTAAAATATCCCTTGAAAACAAAGTAGTAAAGTCTTCCTTACTTAAATGCAATTTTGGGGGGCTGGATATGACATTTTGGCAATGGTAGTAAAGTGATTTAAAAACTTAAGAATTTTTGTTCAACAAAAAGGGATGTAAACAAAATTTCCTCTAAGGAGAACAACACTTAATTGAAAGCCTGTTGTAAGCATTCAAATAATATTTATACAATCATTACAATAGTGTCAGGAATTTAATGAGAACTCAGTATATAATGTGATAATTATTATTGTTGAATAAAGTGTGAGAATTGTAATTGGCAAAATACCAAATGAACTTTAGTTATTTGGTGTTGCATAATTATCTTCATCTCTTAACATTGACCTTAAATTTATAAATATTTTTGAATTTTTTTATTATGTGGAACCTAATCTTTTGTATTCCAACTTTATACCTTTGTTCTTCCAATTTTAGCTTTGTTTTTTTTTCTTAATTTTACTCCTTACACTAATGTTTCCTTTTGTTTATTGAACATTTATTGGAATACTGTTATTAGAGATCGACTCCAGTTTTACCATACTAACAAATAATTGTTTTCATTGTTACTGTTTTCTTCTAATTTGCATATACATACTATATGTTTTTTGCAGAATTTATAATATCATAGATATTGTTTATTTTACTTTTCTAACCTTTGTAATATTTGATGGTTATGTGACAGCCAAATTACTGTTAAAATTTCCTCAATTCTAAGGACCCCAAAGGGAAATAATTGTTTGTACTTTATTCCTCTCAATAACATTAAATTGAACAGCTCTGTTCATGTAGCTTTCTCTTCTTTTGAACTGTTTCCATAGGATACTAATCTCAAATAGGATTACTGCTGAAAGGATAGAAATGTTTCTACAGTTGCTAAATTTTTGCTTCTCCCCAAGTAGAGTTGACCAAGTTTACACTGTCATGAGACTATGAATGCAGTAGCTTTGCCATAATTTTGCTGACTTTGGAATTGTGCTTATTAAATAAAATGTGATTGCTTAATTGGGAATTATTAATGGCACTAAGTTATATTATTTAGTAGTTTTGAAATTATTTAGTCAACTATATGTTTTTGTAGTTTGATAAATATTTTTCATTTTTTTTCTGCTTTTTGAACTATAGATTTCAGACAAGATCGGGCATATTCATGGTATTAAGATTATAGACTTTTAACTATAGGTTCCATAGGGTTTCTGTCTTAACGAATTTGTCATTTTGAATCTTAATAATTCATGATTGATAATTATTGAGATTCAAAATGACAAATTCATTTTCCTATAGATAATCCTTCAAATAAAGTCTGTGTGTGTTGTAGCCAAATTGATTAAGGTTTTGTTTCTTTGATATCTTCTTTTGGCACATAGTAAGTATGTAGTCAGGATTTGGGGATGATTTTTTTTTTTAGGAGCCAGATTGTCATGAGTCTACTTAGGAGCTGTATTATGTGTGGGACAAATTATGTCTTTTTTTTTGTGCCTCATTTTCCTTTAAGGAGAATAACACTGAACTGTAAACCTTGTAAGTATTCAGATAATGTTTATAGAATGCTTAAAACTGTGTCAGGAACTTAATGAGAACTCAACATATAATATAATAATTATTGATGGAGTTTACTCAGAAATACTAATGTAGTACAGCCACTTGAAGGATGTTTATGATGTTGCTTGAAAATAATACACCATCCATCTATTTGGTAGTTTTGACAACAAAGTTGGGTTTTCCCCAGGAACTTATTTGTACTGGAATTTACTAATTTAGAATTTTCATAAATCCATTTAAGAGAGTATCATATATTTTTGTTCCATGTGTGACCCTTTTCCCAAATCAGACTTTTTCTATATCAAATTTTTAGTATTTTAGCATGCACATGTTTGAGGTGATACAATTATACTGTAATTTCCATAAAATCCATTTTTTTTCTTCTAGGCCAATTTCACCATAAACAATCTAGTGAGACCTTTTATTTCTTCCTCATAGGAGATTATGATGAATTAAAATAACAGTCCTGATGGTTGTTCTTTTAAAGTCCTTAGTAATTATTCAAGTAATATAACTACATTATTAATTCTCATCCACAGTGTTGAGAGTTACTGATGTCTTTTGTTGTTTGTAAAGCAGATTTTAATGATTGTTGAAATATAGATTAGGATTAAGGGTTTTTCCTATTAGTAATATCACTTTCACTTACTTGAACTTGGACATACTTTGAGGAAGGGAGAGAGGTGAGCTTATTAGTGTTTTGATGGGAATTATATATACAGTGTAGTTTATCTTGTTTGTGCTCTCTTTGTAAATGAGAAATTTTAATTGATGTATTATTAGTAGTGGTGGTGTCTATAATTTTTGTAGTTCTTAGTGAATTATGAATTTCTATTTTCTTTTTACTTTTTTAAAATTTTTTATTAATTTTTGAGGGGTACCAGGGATTGAACTCCAGCACTTGACCACTGAGCCACATCTCTAGCCCTATTTTGCATTTTGTTTAGAGACAGGGTCTCATTGAGTTGCTTAGCGCCTTGCTTTGGCTGGCTTTGAGTTTGCAATCCTCCTGCCTCAGCCTCCCGAGCTACTGGGATTACAGGTGTATGCCACTGCACCCAGCTTCTTTTTACTTGTTCCAAAAAAAAGCTAAGTTTTTTAGCAACAAAGATATATTTTATTCATCTACCTTTAGGTAAAAGTATGCTGTGGACATTATGAGACTGATTCCATTACCAAATCTAAAGTGATATAGTAAGATTTGCACTCATAATTTATATTCATAACTCTTAATCTGTAAGTTCTTTGTATTTATATGCTTTTAATGTTATTCTGTTGTAATTTTAAACTGTAAAGCAAGAACTTGCTTACCTTCCATAAAACAGGGATGAGAGATCTGAAAATAATCAACTCACTTTAAAAATGAAGTTAAAAATTGGACTACTGTTATTTTTATTAAAGAAAGT